TACACAAATATAAATACTTATTTATACTTATTTTTTTGTAATAATTATAGGGAAAATATTACATCASCAATTATTTTATTACCCTTTAAATTGATTTCTGAAGTGCAGTGGTTCCCAAACTTTACAGCTTTTGACCCATAAACAGTAGCAGAGACCTGTGCCCACAACTATTTTTGGTTGATATTGTATCAGATCAACTAAACATGGGCACAGTAACAATATTTATTATTCTACATTTATACATTTTAAGCAACTAAGGCAAAAATGTAATTAATTTAGAAAATCTTTTCAGGACCCCACCTTTCCCGACCCCAACTTTGGGAACCACTGTTCTACACTAATAGAAGAATAATAAAAACTAAGTTTGAGCTTTGGGAAACCTTTGTCTGATTTGTGAAACATCAATAAAGTTTGTTTTTCGTCATTTTTTAGGCAACTGAACCACATTAGATCTGGTCCAGCTCAAAAACCACAACACCTGGACTCTTTGGCTGGACCAGTTGCCTGAAAAGTGATGATAAACAAACTTTGTTGATGTTTCACAAATCAGAGAAAGGTTTCCCAAAGCTCAAACTTAGTTTATATTATTCTTCTGTTAGTGTAGAATAATCTAGTCCTGGTTTGAAGAGTGTAGGTGTTGTAGTTTTTGAGCTAGAGCAGGTTAAACACGCGCAAGGTAGTGAAAAATTATTTGTTATATCCCTTTAGTCATTTCCTGAATCAGAAGCTGGAAACGGAAGCTAACTTCAGCTTCGTCACCTGTAGGATCTTTAACTTACAAGTTTAATCTCTCCTTTCGCTTTCTGTAGAACAACGACCACATGAGGAACACGGTCCACCGCCACGAGCCACCTGTGGTCGGCACGCCCCTGAAGATTCTGGTGGACGACGGCGAAGTCCTCGTGGTCGACAAGCCTGCGTCCATCCCCGTCCACCCCTGCGGTCGGTTCCGCCACAACACGGTGATCTTCATTCTGGGCAAAGAGCACGGCATCTCTGAGCTCCACGTGGTCCACAGGCTGGACAGGCTGACCTCCGGAGTCCTGCTGTTCGCCCGGACGCTGGAGACCTCGAGGAAACTCGATCAGATGGTGAGAGACAGACAGGTACGTTCAGAGCTGTACGAAAACTTACATCTGTCTCAGTCTTGTTGGGTCCTTCCYAKGTTTTTACTTTATTTTTCAGCTTGAAAAGGAGTARGTGTGTCGAGTAGAGGGTGAGTTTCCTGAGGGCGAGCTAATATGCGAGGAGCCCATCTTGGTGGTCGCCTTTAAGGTCGGCCTCTGCAGAGTCGACCCAAAGGGGAAGGAGTGCCGAACCGTTTTCCAGAGGCTCAGCTTTAATGGAAAAACTAGCGTGGTCCGCTGCTTGCCCCTCACCGGACGRACCCACCAGATCAGGGTCCACCTTCAGTTTCTGGGCTTTCCCATCCTCAACGACCCAATCTATGGATCCCTGGCCTGGGGTCCCCACCGGGGCAAAGGGGGGCTTATTGGGAAGAGCGACGAGGAGCTGCTGCAGGCCTTAATGGAGGAGCATCGCTCTCAGGAGAACTCAAACCTGCTAGAGCTTCTAGATGACTGCACCGGGGTCACGAAAGATTCAGAGAAGTCATCAGAGAAAACGGACAAGTCAAGTAGTCTTTCTGAACCCGTCGACATCAAAGAAACAATTCACCCAAATATGAACAAAACCTCTGCTGAAGAGTCTCTAAATTCAACTAAAACAACCGAGAGTCCAAACAAAGCAGACGGCACTCCTCAGAAAACTCCTCCAGAGACCCGAGACCACCTGTGCAGCGACTGTAAAATAGTGCGGCCGGACCCCACTAATAAGGAGCTGGTCATGTACCTCCACGCTTTACGCTACAAAGGACCCGACTTTGAATATTCAACACAGTTACCCGTCTGGGCCAAAGAGGACTGGGTGGAAACAGAGTAAATCTCTTCTAACGGACGTGACTGATCATGGTTTTGTTTTGATTGTTTTGATTCTTTTCTCTTATTGTTTCTCAGCTGAGGTTTAATGAGCTGAAGTTTTGTTTTGCTGCTTAAAATAATTTATATTTAATGCATTTTCCTTTGAGGAATGTGGTGGTTGGCTGTGATCTGCTGATAGAACAAAAGAACTGAAATAAACATTTGCAGGAAATGTTTTATTTCACTCAGACAGCCGTGAATGATGATGGACAGTGATGARGCTGAGTTTTTGTGACAACAGAAAGTCTGGTGATTTTGTCTTTAAGGCAGGTTATTCTGTAGCTACATGTAGAACCAGAGCTTTAAAAACCCGCTCTTAGACAAACAAACAATAAATAGAAGTTAGTTTGCAGAAAACACACTTTCAGTACAAACAGCCAACTGAAAGACACATGCTGTTAATTATCATAGAAAGAGCTGAGGTGTGGATAAAATC